AGAAATGTTCTTCATATGTCAAAGGTTCTTTATGGAACCATTTAGACAAAAAAGGTTCTTCTATGGCATCATGAAGCACCTTTATTTTTAAGACGGTAGATTTGCCAAAGTTTGCCAGGTTAGTGGCCTCAAATCTTTATAAGATACTCAGGTATTTGTTTAGCAAATAAGTTAGAACTGTATTCTGGACATAAATATGAACTGCGTTTGATAACCTTAAATGTTGGTGTCACATTCGCTTCCTGTCTAAATTGACAGTACTTAGCAAGAATAAGTCGCAACGTGGATTTTTAGTCAAAAGTCTGGCTGGCTGACTAGTGAGAATAGTTGACAAATGATAAAACAAGCATTAAATGAGGCCATATCTAGTAATGGTTTGGTCAAATTTGAATCCAAAAAGTTAGACTGATTACCACTTGGTTAACTGCTAGTTAGTCAAACTAGTTCTTCAGAGACAGTCTTAACATGGTGACTATGTTCATGCAACTGGACCCTGAAGCAGACAAGCTAAATGAAAATGTCCTTAAAAGGGCAGCATAATCTTACTATTGTCATTTATTTATTTATAATTTTATTTTTATTTCTTAATCCTTGAATGAGCATGAAATAAATTAAATAACTAAAGGAAATACTTTTAAAATAGGAAATAAAATAAATTAAACAAAATTTGTAAAGTATGAAAATAAAAAATAAGTATGAAAATAATACATATAAAAACAAATTTATTTATTTAGTTTTCCTTTTTCTAAATCATTTTACCTGTTTTTTAACTCTCAAAAATTCATACTCAATTTAACTAAATTCAACTAATTTTGCACATCTAAACATGAAATACAATATTAAATAAATACGTAAGTACTGTTTTTTCATCATACTGCAAGTATATACAGTGGGTACAGAAAGTATTCAGACCCCCTTAAATTTTTCACTCTTTGTTATATTGCAGCCATTTGCTAAAATCATTTAAGTTCATTTTTTTTCCTCATTAATGTACACACAGCAAATGATTTTAGCAAATGGCTGCAATATAACAAAGAGTGAAAAATTTAAGGGGGTCTGAATACTTTCCGTACCCACTGTATATAATACAGATGAGAAGCACACACTACCCCCGGATAATAACACGACAAATAGGCAACAACTGCTCTCCTCAATGCAATCTCTCTCAGTCAAATCTCCTAAACATCCTGTCTCTCATTCTTTCGGTCTCTTTCATAGGTTATAAACACCTCCCCTGGCACACTCTTACTTTCAGATACTAAAACTCTCCCTCACTCTCTCTATCTCTTGCTTGATTTGTTTCAATTTCTTTGTGGCTCTTCCAGTGAGATGACAGGAAGTTGGCAAACACTTCTACAGAGGGCTTCTTCGTCTCTTCATTCTCCCAGGATTCCCCGAGTTGGCTTACAGCCACCGTTGTGTGTGTGTGTATGACCATTAAAAAAAACTTGTTTTTTTTTCTAGAGGAACATCCTGTGGCTTGGCTACCACGGACACACTGAGATTTATGGTGAAACAACCACAGCTAAAAATCTAATTAGTGACCAGTCGACCAGTTATCCTGCTTGTTTCTCCATCACCACCTTGACTAGACAAAATCTGAGCCTGAGCAGTACAGGACAAGTCCAGAACCACATGCTAATGAGCAAATGTCATATGATGCATAAAAACATGCTGTAACTCCAAAAAGAGCATTTATAGAAACTAAGCTGCAAAAACTGCTCATTCTGAACATCCTCAACATCAGAAAGATGCACTGATTAACACAGTTATGATTACCCACATTTACACATCAACAACACCAAAAACTCATCATGGCACGGCAATACAAAGGAAGTTTGACAGGTACTATCATTCCTAAACACTAGAACAACTAATGAAAAGAGTCAAATGTGGTTAAGTCAGTCAAATCCTGTGTTGTTTTTGTCTGTGTAGCACCTTCTGCTCTGCAGATCCTTCTGAAAAGGGGCTAAAGTTGATTTTAAATAAGGTTTCTGATTATTTTAGCCTTATTTCAACACAGACTGTGGCATGAATCCATCACAATTTGATACATCTTTATGAAGAGAATAGTTCACGCAAAAATGAACATTTGCGTTTGTTTCTTTATCTGAACAGATTTCGAGGGAAATTCAGCATTATATCACTTGCTCGCCAATGGATCCTATGAAGTGAATGGGTGCCGTCAGAATGAGAGTCCAAACAGCTGATAAAAACATCCACAAGGAACCCACACATCTCCAGTCCATCAATTATAGTCTCGTGACATGAAAAGTTGCATGTTTGCAATAAACAAATACAACATTAATACATTTTAACTTTAAATACTCACTTCTGACCAAAATATCAGTCCATAATCCCTAATAACGCTTCCTCTATTAAAAAAAGTTCTTCTCCTGTCATTCTCTTACATCAAAATCCACCAGCATATTAGTGTAGAATGGTTTTGGACTGTTTTTACAGCCCTTGATTTGTGCATATTTCTCTCCCGATTCAGAAAAAAACAACTTTTTCACTGGAGGAAGCATTATTATGGTTTAAGGATTTAAGGTTTGTTTAGAAGCAACAGTTTACCGTTAAAAATGATGGACTGGAGTTGTGTGGATTATTTTTTTATAAGCTGTTTGGACTCTCATTCTGACGGCACCCATTCACTTCAGAGGATCCATTAGTGAGCAAATGATGCAAGTTATCATTATTGGAGTGAACGGGCCTTCATAGATATGCTGTAAAGTACAAACTATAAACTACATTTGGACCCAACATTTTAAATACAAGAAGTGTTTACATAGAAGGCACAGTAACAAAAAAGGCCTGTTTAGTTCAAAGTTAGACAACCATTACAGAGGTCATCTGCAAATGTAAGCTTTATATGTAGTCGCGAAAGCAGTCTATTGAACTGAAAATAGATAGGAAAAACTAAACAATGACTGTTTTTGACACACAAAACCTAGACTAACCTGCGCAACTTTAGCAGAAAGAATAAATAATGCAAATTATGATATGACCTCTTTAAATAACCCAAATGAAGGCATGGCCTTGTGGACCAGCGATGAGAATGTGATCAGGCCGTGAGTCGCATGACACGGGCAGCAGCTCTGCACATTCACTGTTCAGTATAAGTAACAGTCAGAGGCCAACAAGCCGCCGTGTTGTTGTGTAACTCTACACCGGCCGTTTGCACACTACTCTAGAAAAGATCAGAGGCCTCGTGACAGCGTCCACACTGATGCTAACCAATCATCACCCTCCCTTACATGACATCAGCACTCGAGTGGCTAACATTATCTCTCTCGCTCTCTCAAAACTATGAATGGTGGATGTGTGTGTTTAAGAGGGAGGGATCAAGTGACTCACCTAACACACACAACACACAACAGCAGTGAGGTGGCAGTCAGCTTTACGTCTGTGACTCATGTTTACTTCACTTATTGCACGGAATCTGCTCTATTTCCATGCTGCAGTGTTAATATTTACCTAATGATAGAAGCACGTCTACACACCCTCGCAAAAAATCCATGAGCTAAAGATGCTGTACTGACGCTGCTCATAGAACTGCACATATTTTCCTGTTTGAATCCTGGAGATTTTGTGCAGTAATTTGTTGCACAATGTTACTAAATCAATAACTGGGGGAAATCAGAAAAGCCATAATTTACCCTAAAAAGAGCTTAGAAATAGCAAACAGAAAGAAACATTTTCTTCTGGAATCACCAACTTAAAGCTGACCAACTATATATTTATTAGTAATTTATACAATTATGTAATTATTGTAGTAAATTATACAAATAATTACAAAGAAACGGCATGTTACAACACATTGAATTAAACATTGCATTGTGAAGTGAAAATCATTTCTACACCATTTTTCAGTGTTTTTATTTGATATCTATCCATAATAAAAAAAATAATTAAAGCATCTCACTTTGCCAACAAAAAAACAGACCTCTATCAACATGAAACCAGAACTTTCTAAACATGAAACGAGTGACAAAAGTCTTTTTGGTTGTATATAGCAGGGGTTTTCAAACCTGGCTTCCCCAGGGGCCGCAAAAGGGTGCTAGGGAACATTTCGGATAAAAATAGTGGTGATTGGTTGTAAATCATGGGATTAATTATGATTATCTTATTCTATTGCCATGCCTAGATACAGTATTCATTAGATTTACACATCTAACATAACTTTAACAGAAGGTAGGAAAAAGATACACTGTTAACTTGACAGTTTACAAATAATATTTTGATCACCTCTTTTGGCTTTAATACAGTGACAATACAAAAAGCAATGTTGTTTTTATAATGCTATTTTTCATGAACCATTATACATTCAAATATACAGTTGTCTTTACATTTTTAAGTGACAGAGTCCCCCACAAGGTCGTTATAATATTATCTAAAGGTCAATGTCATAAAAAGTTTGAAAGCCCCTGCAATACTGAACTATTTCTTCTACTGCTGAAAATTAAGCAGTTGTTAAACCTCCACAAATGAGCCCAAGAACACATTTCTCACAAAATCCAACCACTCAAGACCTATAATAGTATTTCACTTCAATTAATTTGCAATTATACTGAAAACAAAGTTAAATCCTCCATATTTCACAACTGAGAACAATCATTCAATGGGTTTGTAAGTCAGCGGACAGCGCCGTGGTGCTGAAATCTCTGGCGCCGCAGCCTCAACGCTCAGGTCAAAACAACATTAGATATTCACATCGATTAAACTGGAATAACGTGCTATTGTACTATGAGCTGTCATTATGCAGTGTGCACTAGTAAAGGCGAAAATGGCGCATAATACAGTCCCAAAGCCAAGAGAATGAAGCAGAGGCCTGATGTCCATATGACTAATAAATACAAATGTGATTCTCACCATTAGACATCACCACTAAACCTCCAACACTCGGGCTCTCTGTGTCAAATCAAACGAACCGGGGATCATTCACACGGCCAACAGCTCGAGATATATTTTCATACAGTAAGGATCCATAAAGCTCTTACTTCAACATGGACTGCTCCTTCTCCTCCTCTTTCTTCTGCCTGTCCATGACACCGAGGATGATCTTCCTCTCCTCCTCGGTGAGGTGGCTCAGGTCCGGCATCTCCGGCAGGACGGGCCCGCTGCGGGGCCCGGCTGGAGCGGACATCTTTACACGCCGATGCTGAAGAAGATCAATAATCAGACTTAATCCATGATGAATGCAAGGTCTATCTGATCAATCATCAGTGGGTTTTGGTTGCTCAGGAATCAAAGCATCATAACCCACAGCAGCATCTCTGATGACCGTTACGATGCTTTAAAACACTAAAGGAGGTAAAGTTATTTTACTACTATTGAAATGATAACAGTGTAAGCTCTTAGACTACATAAGGTGGATTTTACAGCATTAGATCAATCATTCTCTGAGCAATAGAAGAGAAGAATGGATACAGCTGGTCCTTTTGAAGGCAATGGCTATTGAAATTAACGTAATCCTGTTTAAAATTCTCCTCTTCCTCAATACAAAAAGAAAATGAATAAAGCAACGATGCATTATGAATAAAATAGCAGATCTTAGATGTTATTCCAGATTTCAGTGAGGATGTGAAATCGCCTCTTGCCTTTTATTTGGCCATCATCCTGTTCAATCCTGTCTAACCCATCGCTGTCATCGCCCTGGAAAAGTTCTTTTGCATCTCATAATAAATGTTTGTTTCCCTTTTGAGTCCCTCTGCGCCGGTGCCTCGCTTTTCTCCAGGTTTGGTAATGCTTGAAGATATCTTAAATACACAAAAATGGATGCAGCAACACAGAATCCCAATTGGAGGTGTGGGCGGAGCAAAGCCGCCCGGCCGGGAGGCGAGTTAACCAATCGTACTACGACGAAGGCTTAGTTATTAATATTCATGAGGCAGCGTTTGCTTTAGGAAGGAAACGACTCGACGTCAGAGCGGCCTATTTAACATTCAAGAGCACAGCATTCGCCATTGGAACAGAAGAACTAAACGTCAGCATTACTCGATTAATATTCAAGAACTAAACCTTATTCTTATTCACTGGCAGGAAAAAATATATTTGTACATTAACAACGTCCGTTACTTTACCAGAGGGGAAAAAAATAATTGCATAAAATGCAGTCTTCAGTGCTCTTTTATTTTAATTTATTTTTCTAAAGTCTAATGTATGGTTTCACTAGGTTTTCATAAATGAGAGAAATGTGTTTTGCAAAATAGTTGTACAAGTCGTTTATTTTACTTAAATGAGACCCTGGACCACAAAACCAGTCAGGGTATATTTGTAGCAATAGCCAACATTGCAAGAACAGTAAAATTGTTAATGTTTTTTAAAGAAGTCTCTTCTGTTCAGCAAGCCTGCATTTATTTGATCCAAAGTACAGCAAAACAATACAATTTTGAAATATTGTTACTAGACTATTTCAAATAATTGTTTTCTATTTGAATATATTAAAAATTCATTCTGATATTCTGATTTGCTGCTCAAAAAACATTAATAATAATAATAATAATTAAA